GGCTTTTTTCTGGTTTGTTTGGGTTTGGGGCTTTTTTGGTGTGTGCGCTTTTTTTTTTCCTGTTTGGTTTGCTTTGTTTCCTTTGGTTTTGTTGTTGGATTTTGTTTGAGTTTTCTAAGGGCTTTTATTTTTCATCCTAAATAGGGGATGTAAAAACAGCAAATCTGTCCTGAACATTTTCAGTTTTGAACATTCAAGAATCCAGATCTTCTACAACAGGATCAAAAAAATGTGAATGTGAATCTAGACTACTCCATTTTCTTACATGGTCTGCAATTAAAAAGTGAGAAAAGATTTTTCTTTTTTTTTCTCCCCTCCTTCAAGAAAGTGCAATGCAATCTACCAGTAGTGAAGCTGACTGTGAGCATGATGTTTACTCAATTTAACAAAGGACTTTTATATATTCTTCTTATGTGTTAAGGACATTCTTACAAAATTCTTTGGCTTGCTCCACGATTACAGCTCTCTTACAATCTCAATTTCTGCAATAAGCTATGCTAAAACCATAACTTTTAAAATATACCAAAGTCAAGCAGTAAGATCAATATTCCCAGAGTTTGATCAACTGGCAGGAAGGAGCTCTTTGGGGACTTAAGCAACTACTGACCTGTGATATGAGGAATCAGTGCCTCTTCTTCACCCAAGTGACCAAGGACATAGTGTAGGAAGACACCATGTCAGCAAGGCCATGAATTCACCATAAGCCACCTGTCCTCACATCAGGAGGTCAGATAGTCACTCCAGGAATGGAGTACCTCTCTCTCTCTTTTCCTATTTGCTCATTTCTTACCTAGAAACTTATTTTTCCCAGGCTGTTTCCCAACCAGCCTCAGCAGCTAGAACTAAACTGTTTTATGTAGAGTCCCCATTCAAGTACAGACATGCTTTGTGCACTACTAGTTGAACATCTTCTTGTATTAGGCAGCTCCTCTGCTATCAGGCAAAGGCTCTGCACCTCGAGACATGAGCAACAGCACCTACATTGGGATGGGCTGTTAAAAACCCTCTTCCACAGACACAGCTGGTGCCCCTGAACAGAAGGGATACAAATCCTGAAAGATGACAGAGCAAGGAAGTGGGTTAGGGAGAATTAGAAGGAGGGATGGCATTATGGCACCAAAATGTTACCCAATATCTCCAAAAGGATTTAGCTATGGTCTTGATTAAAGCTGCTCACAGGGGTGATCTTTATCTCAAATATAAAGCAGAATACTCCTCTTGCTGGACTTATCGTGGCCTATGGATTCAGAAATATTATTAGAGGAGTAGAATGACAAGCCTCTTCTATAGCCAAAGGAAAATGCACACAGTCTTCAGCAGGTGTTCTGGCTTACATTGCACCCATGAAGAGGCTTTTTTCATTGACCAAAGCTGGTTTTATTCTTAAAGCAAATTAGCAGTACATCAATATGCGCTCCAGATATCAACCACTTCCATGCTCCAAACACAGCAGCCTTGTGGAACAGCAGCATGTATAATGGCTCTAGTCAAGCCAAGGAAATTCTCTTGACTTTGAGTCACCAGTATCTCTGGCTTTTCTAACCTAAATAACTGGTGTATGACACTAATCTCTCTCATAGCATTCTCATATACTGTAGTTATCAACACTCATGCAATAGAAGCCCTTGTCAAAAGCTTCTACACAGAGATTTGGGAGATATTAGTATCTTTCTTTTTATCAGAATGCTTCTGATGCCTGCACAAGTTGTTAAAGAATGCTTTTTTGTAAATTACCTTGCTGAGGATTGTTATTAAGCGAGGATTTTTGTTTGATGAATGAACAAGACATGAAATGAAACACTTCTATGTCTAAGCAACCTGAAGGTGATGAATAAAACAAAATTAGAGAAAATGCATCTAGAGTGAAATTCAAGGATCCATCAGCTATCTCTCTTCAGCTATCTCTCTAATCTAATAACTATTTTTAACACTTTCACAGATGGAGGTTTCACTGACTCAATCAATCTCTATATGTATGATATATTTTAAGTCAATTTTTTTAAATTTTCATCCTGAATTCTGTGCTATAGTTTTGATTCACTGTTTTTTGTCCAGTATGCAGTAGATCTAAAGAAGAGATTAGTCCTTTCCTAGTCCTTTCCTTTTTTATATCTGTCTTTTTGTGTCTTCAAGGGTATGTTCATCTTTTGCTGCAGTCTGATTTTTGCTGGATTTAGCAACTTGATTCATTCAGTCTTTTTCCCTGGCTATATCCTCTAGACTGCTGTCAACTCATTTGTCTGTGTCTCTCTTGAAGCACTGTGCCTAGGAGTGGGCATAGTACGGTGGAAGGATTAGAGCAGAGGCACACAAGACTAGTGTCAATCCCATGACAGTGGCTGTTACTCTCATGGTAGGATGATGTTACTAAGTCACGTTCCATTTCTGGGCCACTTTACATATGTGCTGTGTGTGAGGGAGGATGTTTTGAAGACTGGTCCAACCCACTGTGATTACACACACTACACCGTAGAGTCCTATACTTCATTGAACAGCATCTTGCTTTTTTCCCAGTGCATGTTTCCAACTCAGGAAGGTAATTTTGAATTCTAATCCTAGCCTCCATGAAGGCCTTTATCAAGGTGGCCATCCCATTAATAAGCACAGAAGTTTTCATTCTGCAAGTTAACGCAGACTGAGAGAGGCTGCAGTGATTTAAGTTGCCTATTGTTATAGCTCCTTTACCCTGAAGAATGAGACCTTTTTCTCTTTTGTCTGAATGAAAGCTCCAACAAACAGACACTTTGGCTTTATTTCTTTGTTTATCGCCTTTCAGGCTTATACTATATTCAGTGTTTGTATTTTTTAACTTATCTTTGCAGTCTGGCTTAATTGTTTGTTTCTGCAGCCTAAAATTGCTTAACTGTTAATCATTGCTTTTTAACTTGGCAGGAGGGGATTTAAGCTGACCATTTGTGCTGCTCCCCTATGGCGAGGAAACACCCTTCTAAAACAGTCTCTCTTCCTCCATAGCTATTTCTTCTGTGAGAATTGTAAGAACATTTGAGTGTCAGATCCTTGTTCTGTTTCTAACCATCAGTATAATACAGAAATACAGAATTACTTTTAAGAAAATAGTCTCCTGATTTTATACCAGAGAAAATGGGAACAAGTCCTGTCCCTTAGTTTCCCTCATGTAGGAAATACCTTTTCTGAAATGGAAAAGACAAACCAAATCCCAAGGAGAAGTCACGGTTTTCAAGGACAAAAATGATGTGAAATCTTACCTTTTATAATTTTATTATCTTTCAAAAAGACATTTCCTTCCAATTCCTGTTCAAAGCAAAGCATCCCCATAAAAATAGTTCTACCATGCCTGTGCCACACATTTTGAAGGGAATTTGTTTCCAAGAAGTTCAAGAGATTTGCAGATACCCCAAAAAAGTGGATTTTTTTTTTTATTTTTTTTTTTGTCTAAAAACTAAGCATCCAGCCCACACAAGTTGTCTTATCCAGGTCACACTATAATCAGTGGAGACAGGCCATCCCATGGTAGGTGCAATGAATGGTGACTCATCTCTGAGACACTGCTATTATCTAGACAACACTATGACAATTTAGAATTGTTCTCTCTTTGGAATTTTAAAGTTAGGTGAGATTACCCAAATGGTAGATTACACTGGTGAAAGTGACCATGCTGGGAAGAGTGAAACCATCTCAACAAAGCCTTCACTGTATGGTAATCTAATCTCTGGGTTCAGGCACAGAGTGCAACCTCAAACTGCTCGTCACCTTCCCCACATGACCATATAATCCACAGTGCAGCAGGACTCCCTACCTGGAGCAAAGCTATGGCTCCCCAGTAGAGGAGACATCATGGCTTCGGGCCAGCTGGAGGCTAAGAGCTGAGGAGGCACTAAAGCTCACTGCGAAGCAAGAAGCTACTTGTCACTGCTCCATTCCTCTCATTTCACCTTCCCTCCCCACGTTCACAGATGAGATATTTTGTTTGCAAGCAGTTGGAGCTCTGGTTTCTGCTCACCCATGACAAAATCACAGGTTAGTGGCTTCCGAATGCTTTTAATGAGTATTCTCCCCTGGTTCTGCTCTATTATCAGCCCAATCAGGTAGGTGTGGGTCTCACTGGCAGCCTCCTTTCCCCAGCCTGCTCAGAACAGTGCCTTGGGGTCAGTTCTGTACGGCCAGCAGCTGGCACTCCTCTTCAGCTGCAGCCTTTACTTATCTCCTCCAATTTCCTCTAACTCCCACATTTTGGGTTTGGTGTCAGGAACTGGAAGATCCCAAACGACTGCATTGACATAACCTGAAACTCCTTCCAGTTGCTAGGATGTGAAGACTGGATGTGCACTCACTAAACAAGCAAACATGGACACATACTCCCTTGTTCTTGCAGACAGAGGATCATGATGCTTGGAGAGCACAAATAGCTTTATTTCTCACTTTCTTTTCTTTGTACACACACCACTAGGGGACGTTTTGTCATCACGTATCACTGGCTACACAGCTATACTTTTCCTTAGTGGGTCATTTTTCCTTGTCAGTCTTGGTGCACATCCAGATCATGGAGTGGATGTCCGAATTTTGTAGGGCTCGTGGATGACCCAGACTCACTGGAGCTGGGAAAGAGAGAATTATTTATTTACCCCATTTCTCCAAAGGAGCCCATCTATCAACATTCCTTATGAAGTGAGGCAGCTGGTTATTTCACAGCTTGCTGGAGCAGCACAAGAGCTGAGGGCAGCTTCTCATTTTAGTGTTAAGTGCTGAATACAGACACTGCTAGTGATTTTGTGAAGATAGAAGTAACACAGCCACTGCAAATCAGACTGGAATGAACATCACTAGCAGTGATGCATCTAAGTGTTTTCTGAAAAAAACCCAAGAATATCTTTTAGACTAAATAGTTGAAATCAATTGGCAAAACTCACATTTCACTCCCATTTTCCATTCTCATCTTATTTGTTCAAGGATAAGTGACTGTCTTAACCCAAGTCACTACCCACCTATTGATGTGCTCTTTTCCCTTCTCTCCATTGCAGACAGAGCAGCTGGTGACTCTTTGGATTCTCTTTATTGTCACAATTGCTGGAAATGCCACCGTGCTCTTCTCTACCTGGAGGAGGAAGCGGAAATCGCGAATGACCTACTTTGTTACCCAGCTGGCAATCACAGGTAGTGCAGGGAGGGGAAAGGGTATCTGACCTGTACAAGAATTGTTATTAAAATGGTAAATAAGAAAATGCAAGCTGAGTTGTGAAGAATTCAGTTGCCATCTAATGTCCAGTTGCAGCTTGCCATAAAGCAAATGGATGGCTGCTTATCTTAGGGATCATTCTGACTCTAATTGAAAAAGATGTTGCTAGATGTAGTAGTATCTGTGTCAGAATGTAGCAGCTGCAACTCACTCATGTCACTAAATCTTATCTTCCAGTCTGAGTTTGCATCCACATTTCCCAGAAGCTATATTTCCAGCTGTTGTCATGGAGCTGTTTAAAGTAAACTAGTTTAAGATGAATCTCTTGTGTTTTTCTACTAAAACTGCTCTATCAATTATACTCTTGCAGGGAAGAGTGAAAATAACTTCATGTTATCTGGTTTAATAAAGCAAGTGAAATATAAAAATATAAAGGTGAGAGGAATGGATTTAGATGTTTTTCAAATGAAAAAAAGGATATTGATCCAAGGACTTCGTAGTTTTTAAACAAAATGTAAAATGTACAGAAGCCTGGTTTGTAAAATGTCAACCTCAGCAACAAGGAAAAGAAATAAGCATAAGCAGCACATTGTTTCTCTGTGGCCTTGAATGGACTAAATTTTTGGGGATTTAAGTTTCCCAAGGGAAAATATGTGCTGTTTCTATAACAGTGTCCTGCTACTAATCCCTGCTTACAAGACAGCTGTGTTGTACTGGTTTTGTATATAGGATATATTTATATGCTTTCTGTTGCTATTTTTTTTCTAAGCTATAGTAGGAATTACAGCACTTTTTCACCAAAGAGATATTTAATATTTGATTTTCCAGCAGTATTGCATCCTTCTTTGATGTCTCTTGTACTTCTGTTTAAACTGGAAAAGCAAAGGACTATACTGCCCAATTTTAAACATGCATTCTTTGTAAACAAATGAACTTCTGCTCATGGTCTCAACCACATCTGTCCAGGAGCTTGTCCAGTTTGAAGAACTACTCTCAGCTGAAACAGAGAGACCAAGGTGTGCAAAGTGGTGTAAAAGGGCAGGCCTATAACTACAGGTGATGTAAGAATTATTACAAGGTGAGGAGGTGAAGGTTTGCTGTGACTCCTCTTCTGAAGTGCTGACAGCTGTTTTTCCTATTTGCCTGTGAGTCATCTGTAATAAATGATTTTAATTCTTATCTCACTTGTGGCCTTTATGTCACTTCCTTCATGTGCCAGTGGTATTTTCCATCAGGTAAATCATGTTAATACAGCCTCACCATACAGTTTGGAAGCATCAACCACAGATCAAGCGTTACAGTGTTCACAGGAGTTTCAAAATAAACAGACTCTGTTCAAAGAGTTCCCTATCCCAGATGAACATACTTAGGCAACCAAGAAGTAATATAGGCAAAGAGCAGAAGAGCAACTGAAGCCCCAGATGGACACTGTCTATTTTCTACTTACTTCGTCAGTGAGCAAAGTACCAGGAGCAACCATCATGAGAAAGGCTTTGGAAAAGAGAAGGGTGAAAAATGACTGTATGTATCCATCTGGCACAGAGGCCACAAGGGTTGGGCTTGCTGAAAGAGCAAAGATGTGTAATACTCACAACAGCATGGTAATAGAAGATGGGTTCCAATAGGAAGAGTTCAGCTAAACAGCAAAGGGTCTTGAACTAGTAAGAAGACAAATGTATTTACTGCAGCAGAGGAAGAACTGGTATAAGGACATGGGTGTCCAGGTCAAAGGAATAAAGCTAGAAGCAGACAGAAGTATCTGAATCAGGATAGCTGAGGTGTACTAGGAGGAGGCTACTGCTGTTGCTGCACTGAATAAGGGTCTGAGTGGGAAGTCTTGCCATTTTGGACCTGTAGGAAAGAAGACTTTTTGTATTAGAATGGAGGTGTATAGAGAGCTGTTCAGTAGGGGTTCAAATACTGTCTACATGAAGGAAGGGGAAGGCATTGCAAATGCAGTTTTGAGGGAGCTGAAATAATCAGTGGCAAAGACAACAAGGCAAATATACCACTAGATGTGGGTAGTAAATAGTGCTATATAGCTAATGTTATAATTTGACTGGGGTCCACATGTTCCACTTGCTGACCTCCCCTTCCCTAAAATTATCCTTGACTTTTAAAATTCCCTGAGTTCAACAGTCTATTCCATTTCCCATTACAGAAATTCACATAGAAAACTCACTTAAAATTCACATCTGCAATGTTAAAAGAGGTAACACCAGCTTGAACAGCAGGCTCCTTTCAAACCATGACATCTTTTTTGTGATGCAGGAGTCAGAACTCTAATTTATCGTCCTGCACCAAGAGTTCTTGTCAGTATTTTGGCACAAAGAAATTACTCAATTCCTGAAATGGAGCCATTTCACTTTCTTATCTTCAAAAATATTATTAAGAACAAAGCAAGCTGGCAACAGCCATCAGCCTTTCACAACAAGTTATGAGGTAGACACAGAAGATTATGAAAACATTGATTTGTCACATTGTTTTGACATGCCAGGCATATTTAAATCCTACCAACTAAAGCCTAATCTCCTGGCAAACAGTTCCTGCTTAGTCAATAATACTACTACTTCCATCTATTTTGAGGTTCTTAAAATATTTATAATTTCTGCCCCAGTAGCAGAAAGAAGAATAATGGATATATCTTTATCAATGCAAGCATTTCAAAACCACTTAAAAACTATTTGTCTATTGATCTGTGGCTCAAGAGTTGAGTATTGCCCTCAATTCTCACGTCTTCCCACTAATGTAGTACCAAAATGAAATTAAAACACAGCCTTCATGTCAGAATAAACAAGGTATTCAAAGCAAATTGTGTATAATACATGAATGTGAAATGAGCACTGTTGTTCTTCTTGACTGGTTGCCAAGCCAGATGCAGAAGAGTAGTAACTAACTGATTGAGGCCTCTTTCAACACTGCCAGAATTCAGTGGTTGAAGCCACTCATCAGATTCAGAGAAGACTCGTACTGATTCCTTACTACATCATAATCAAAACAGGGTGCTCAAAACTGCAAGAGTTTGTAGGAGCATGAGTAATCTCTTCAACTTCAGAGTGCTTAAAGATGTTGTTGAAGCCTGAATTCATAATATTGGTATTAAATATATGCCTATACAATGCCTGTGTCAGAACCATATTTAAGTCTATGTCTAACTCTCAGTTCATGCATAAATCTCTTTGAAATTATCTGGGAATTAAGCACTAGGAAATCAGCTAAGAGTCAACAGCTGAGCTGAACAATAGTACTAATCACTCAGCATCAGCTAATTTAACAAAGAGGAATATTGCCATGTTTGCCTTGTGTTCAGTTTACATTTGGTCATATTCCTCTTCTGTAAAAATGTTTTTCTTAGAAACAAGTTCATCTGTGAAGACTGAGACTAAAGCTAGCTTTCCTGCAGATTTCTATCTCCAAGGCAATTTAGTTTCTCAGAAAGTGCAAGTTCTGAAGATTATCCTGTGAGGAGGGTATTTCTAAACACTTTTCCCCAAATAGATTTCTTCTGAGTTTAGCATAAGTTATGCTCATAGCACAGCTATTTCCTGGCAGGAAATCTCTTATGGCTTCCCCTACCTGATGCCATTTCACATAACTTCAGAATCTTAGTGTCTTTAAGATGTTTGCCTCTGACTGAAATCACCAAGTGGTTCAAGATCAAAGAGTGGGATGAGTTCACAGGCGCTGTATAATGCTGGAAATATTGAAGATATATTTGTTTTAAGAAAAGATAGTTTATCCACTCATTTATGTCCATTTAGATCAGTTTACTCAGCTCTATCAAAGTAATCTTCTTAAGTCTACTTTTAAAATACAAAAGCAGTGTACACAGGCATACATAAAACATAATTATTTGAGTAGCAGTGGATAAGGAATGTCATTTATGGGCTAAAGAGTCCATTCAGTAAAAACTGTTATCATTTGACTGATTCTAAAACTAATCAAGCAATACATTAAAAAAAGTCTGCTGAAAAGAATTTTACCTCTCATTTTTCTCCATTCAACTTCAATTACTACTGATAGAGGAATATATTTAAGTTCCTTTTAATGTCCAAAGGTGCATAGTTTGTTTAGCTCTTTCTCTCCAACATTAACATCTGGAAAGTTGGAGCTGGAAATATCATGACCTTTAGCTCATGTGTGTTTCTCTTTCTATTCCAACATTTAGCAGAAATCAGTACTTTAAAAACACCATTACATTTTGTCCACTGTTAGGGGTAGAAATACATGTAGGTACTTTACTGCATGCCAAATTTTAAGCCATAGACTGACAGTCTTGTTTGGAAATACATGCTAATTTGTTGTGGCTGTAATGAAGAGAGAAAACAGAAAGAACATCCCCTAACTTTTATGGTAGCTTACATATAAACAGTGAAAACAAAAGATGTTTGGTAAAAGTATGTAGCTACAGTCTATATTGTGATATAAATACCAAATCCTAGGGGATTACTTGAGAATGACATTAAAAAGACAGGGAGGTAGTTTTAAAAGTGACATAAAGAGATTTATATCATTGCCACCTTCTTCAGTTGCTCCTAGAAAGATGAACCATACCAGGCCTTGGTCCTTATCAGCTGCCTTAATTTTGTTCAGTGTTTAGTGAAAAGCCAATACACTGAAAACTTGCTATGAGAGGGTTATGGAAGCACTTAAGTGGAAACAGACCCTGCTAAAGCAAAGATTGTTTATTTTCTGTTCTGCTTCTGCCCAGAGAGAGCATGACTGTGAGACTAAAACCAACAGGGCTCAGTTACTGGCTTCTAGGATGTCTTTGGTTAAGATGACTGAAGGAAGAGTCTGCCAAATTATCTGCTAGTTAAATGCGCTAAATAAGTGCATCTAACTCTACTGCTACAACAGCTAAATGTGAACAAATGCATTAGAAGCTGTCCTTCCCTTCTTCTTCTTTTTCCCTGCACAAAAACCACTAGGTTTACTGAAGTGTGCCTGTCCTTCAATATTTTTCTTCCTTGTCTAT